GGACAGAACCCAAAGCCTTGCTCAATATACTCTGGTATGTCTGAGTCAAGAAACAGAACCCAAAGCCTTTCTCACTAGACTCTTGTATGTCTGGGCCACGGGACAGAACCCAAAGTCTTGCTCACTAGACTCTGGTATGTCTCGGCCCGGGACAGAACCCAAAGCCTTGCTCACTAGACTGTAGTATGTCTGGGCGCGGGGATAGAACTCAAAGCCTTCCTCACTAGACTGTATGGGCCCTGGGACAGTAACCAAAGCCTTGCTCACAAGACTCTGGTTTGTCTTGACCCAGGGACAGAACCCAATGCCTTGTTCACTAGACTGTAGTATGTCTGGGCCCAGAGACAGAGCCTAAAGCCTCGGTCACTAGACTCAGGTATGTCTAGGCCCGGAATCGGAACCCAAGCCTTGCTCACTAGACTGTAGATTATATGGGCCCGGGGACAGAACACAAAGTCTTGCTCACTAGACTGTAGTATATATGGGCCAGGGGACAGAACCCAAAACATTGCTCACCAGACTCTGGTGTGTCTGAGCCCGGGGACAGAACCCAAAGCCTTGCTCGCTAGACTGTAGCATATCTGGGCCCAGGGACAGAACCCAACGTATTGCTCACTAGACTCTGGTGTGATTCGGCCAAGGGACAGAATCCAAAGCCTTACTCACTAGATTGTAGTATGTCTGGGCCCGGAGACAAAACCCAAAGCCTTGCTCACTAGACTGTAGTATGTCTCGGCCGAAGGACAGAACCCAAAGTCTTGCTCAATAGACTCTGGTATGTCTGAGTAAAGAGACAGAACCCAAAGCCTTGCCTACTAGACTCTGGTTTGTCACGGTCCAGGGACAGAACCCAAAGCCTTGCTCGCTAGACTGTAGCATGTCTGGGCCCAGGGACAGAACCCAAAGTATTGCTCACTAGACTCTGGTATGTCTCGGCCAAGGGACAGAACCCAAAGCCTTGCTCACTAGACTGTAGTATGTCTGGGCCCAGGGACAGAACCCAAAGTATTGCTCGCTAGACTGTAGTATGTCTGGGCCCAGTAACAGAACCCAAAGTATTGCTCACTAGACTGTGGTGTGATTCGGCCAAGGGACAGAATCCAAAGACTTGGTCACTAGATTGTAGTATGTATGGGCGAGGGGACAAAACCCAAAGCCTTCCTCACTAGAGTGTAGTATGTCTGGGCCCGGAGACAGAACCCAAATCATTGCTCACTAGACTCTGCTGTGTCTCGGTCCGGGGACAGAACCCAAAGCCTTGCTCACTAGACTCTGGTTTGTCTCGGCCCGTGGACAGAATCCAAAGACTTGGTCACTAGATTGTAGTATGTCTGGGCCCGGGACAGAACCCAAAGCCTTGCTCGCTAGACTGTAGTATGTCTGGGCCCAGGGACAGAACCCAAAGCCTTGCTCACTAGACTGTAGATTATCTGGGCCCGGGGATAGAACCCAAAGCCTTGCTCACTAGACTGTGGTATGTCTGGGCCCGGGACAGAACCCAAAGCCTTGCTCACTAGACTGTAGTATGTCTGGGCCCGGGGATAGAACCCAAAGCCTTGCTCACTAGACTCTGGTATGTCTGGGCGCGGGGACAAAACCCAAAGCCTTGCTCACTAGACTGTAGTATGTCTCGGCCGAAGGACAGATTCCAAAGTCTTGCTCAATAGACTCTGGTATGTCTGAGTGAAGAGACAGCACCCAAAGCCTTGCCTACTAGACTCTGGTGTGTCTGGGCCGGGACAGAACCCAAAGCCTTGACTCTGGGCCCGGGGACTAGACTGTGGTATCTGGGCCCGGGGACAGAACCCAAAGCCTGCTCACTAGACCCTAGTATGTCTGGGCCCGGGACAGAACCCAACGCCTTACTCACTCAACTCTGGTTTGTCTTGACCCGGAGACAGAATCCAAAGCCTTGCTCACTAGACTGTAGATTATATGGGCCCGGGGATAGAACCCAAAGCCTTGCTCACTAGACTCTGGTTTGTCACGACCCTGGGACAGAATCCAAAGCCAGACTCTGGTATGTCTGGGCCCGGGGACAGAACCCAAAGCCTTGCTCACTAGACTCTGGTTTGTCTCGGCCCGTGGACAGAATCCAAAGACTTGGTCACTAGATTGTAGTATGTATGGGCGCGGGGACAAAACCCAAAGCCTTGCTCACTAGACTGTAGATTATATGGGCCCGGGGATAGAACCCAAAGCCTTGCTCACTAGACTGTAGTATGTCTTGGCCCTGGGACAGAATACAAAGCCTTGGTCACTAGACTCAGGTATGTCTAGGCCCGGAATCGGAACCCAAGCCTTGCTCACTAGACTGTGGTATGACTGGGCCCAGGGACAGAACCCAAAGCCTTGCTCACTAGACTCTGGTTTGTCACGGCCCTGGGACAGAATCCAAAGCCAGACTCTGGTGTGTCTCGGTCCGGGGACAGAGCCCAAAGTCTTGCTCACTAGACTCTGGTATGTCTTTGCCCGGGGACAGAACCCAAAGCCTTGCTCACTAGACTCTGGTTTGTCACGGCCCTGGGACAGAATCCAAAGCCAGACTCTGGTATGTCTGGGCCCGGGGACAGAACCCAAAGTCTTGTTCACTAGACCCTGGTGTGTGTGGTCCCGAGACAGAACCCAAATCCTTGCTTACTAGCCTCTGATGTGTCTGGGTCCGGAGACAGACCAAAAGCATTGCCACTTAACAGTAGTATGTCTGGGCGCGGGAATAGAGTTCAAAGCCTTCCTCACTAGATTGTAGTATGTCTGGGCCCGGGGACAGTACCCAAAATCTTGCTCAAAAGACTCTGGTGTGTCTGGTCCCAGGGACAGAGCCCAAAGTCTTTCTCACTAGACTCTGGTATATATGGGTGCGGGGACAAAACCCAAAGCCTTGCTCACTAGACTGTAGTATGTCTTGGCCATGGGACAGAACCCAAAGCCTTGGTCACTAGACTCAGGTATGTCTAGGCCAAGGGACAGAACCCAAATCATTGCTCACCAGATTCTGGTTTGTCTCGGCCCAGGAACAGATTCCAAAGCCAGACTCTGGTATGTCTCGGCCCGGGGATAGAACCCAAAGCCTTCCTTACTAGAGTGTAGATTATATGGGCCCGGGGATAGAACCCAAAGCCTTGTTCACTAAACTCTGGTTTGTCACGGCCCTGGGACAGAATCCAAAGCCAGACTCAGGTATGTCTGGGCCCGGGGACAGAACCCAAAGCCTTGCTCACTAGACTCTGGTTTGTCACGGCCCTGGGACAGAATCCAAAGCCAGACTCTGGTATGTCTGGGCCCGGGAACAGAACCCAAAGTCTTGTTCACTAGACCCTGGTGTGTGTCGGTCCGGAGACAGAACCCAAATCCTTGCTTACTTGCCTCTGATGTGTCTGGGTCCGGAGACAGACCAAAAGCATTGTCACTTAACAGTAGTATATCTGGGCGCGGGAATAGAACTCAAAGCCTTCCTCACCAGATTGTAGAATGTCTGGGCCCGGGGACAGTACCCAAAGCCTTGCTCACAAGACTGGTGTGTCTGGTCCCAGGGACAGAACCCAAAGTCTTGCTCACTAGACCCTGGTGTGTCTGGGCCCGGGGACAGAGCCCAAAGTCTTTCTCACTAGACTCTGGTATATATGGGTGCGGGGACAAAACCCAAAGCCTTGCTCAATAGACTGTAGTATGTCTTGGCCATGGGACAGAACCCAAAGCCTTGGTCACTAGACTCAGGTAAATCTAGGCCAAGGGAAAGAACCCATATAATTGCTCACCAGACTCTGGTTTGTGTCGGCCCAGGGACAGAATACAAAGCCAGACTCTTGTATGTCTCGGCCCGGGATTAGAACTCAAACCCTTCCTCACTAGAGTGTAGTATGTCTGGGCCCGGAGACAGTACCCAAAGCCTTTCTCACTAGACTCTGGTTTGTCACGGCCCTGGGACAGAATCCAAAGCCAGACTCTGGTATGTCTGGGCCCGGGGACAGAACCCAAAGTCTTGTTCACTAGACTCTGGTGTGTCTCGGTCCTGAGACACAACCCAAAGCCTTGCTTACTAGACTCTGATGTGTCTGGGCTCGGAGACAGACCAAAAAGCATTGTCACTTAACAGTAGTATGTCTGGGCGCAGGGATAGAACTCAAAACCTTCCTCACTAGAGTGTAGTATGTCTGGGCCCGGAAACAGTACCCAAAGCCTTGCTCACAAGACTCTGGTGTGTCTGGTCCCAGGGACAGAACCCAATGTCTTGCTCACTAGACTCTGGTTTTTCGCGGCCCTGGGACAGAATCCAAAGCCAGACTCTGGTATGTCTGGGCCCGGAGACAGAACCCAAAGCCCAGCTCACTAGACTGTAGTATGTCTTGGCCATGGGACAGAATCCAAAGCCTTGGTCACTAGACTCAGGTTAATCTAGACCAAGGGAAATAACCCATATAATTGCTCACCAGACTCTGGTTTGTCTCGGTCCAGGGACAGATTACAAAGCCAGACTATGGTATGTCTCGGCCCGGGAATAGAACCCAAAGCCTTCCCTATTAGAGTGTAGTATGTCTGGGCCCGGCGACAGTACCCAAAGCCTTGCTCACTAGACTCTGGTGTGTCTGGGGCCGGGGACAGAACCCAAGCCTTGCTCACTAGACTGTGGTATGACTGGGCGCGGGGGCAGAACCCAAAGTCTTGCTCACTAGTCTCTGGTTTGTCTCGGCCCAGGGATAGAACCCAAAGCACAACTAAATTCCAAAACGAGGCAATGTCAAAGGAGACATTAGAAGATACGAAACATTGTGGAAGTAGGCATAAATGGCAAGTCTAGTTGTCACTTAAGATCTTAAATACTTTGGCAGCAGATACGATTCATACGGCCTACCTGAATGGACGAAATATGGTAAAACACTTAACCGTTTCTGATGAACTTATGAAGCAGGGTCGTGGTATTTGTCCAAGGTGAGCGATACAACCCCATTGGCCCTATTGTATTACACTAAGCTATTTCTATTACTATTCTCCCATTACAGTTTGCACCGGAGTGGGTTTTATGTTTTTCTACGCGACCTCCCTGTCCATGTGGAATCTGCTCGTCCTCAACGTTGACCGCTGGGTGTCAGTCACACAACCAATGAAATACGTGACCTGGATGACAAACCGGATGTCCCACAGAATAATTGGTCTGGTTTGGCTCGGCGTCCTACTTATTGACCTGCCCATGTTGCTGCCGGATGTGGGTGATGTCTATTATATAGATGGTGCCTTTTTATGCAGTCCTAATTGGAAAGCGAACTTGTATTATACTTTCATCCTGCTCTCGGTGCACCTGTTACCGTGCTTTATACTCGTGTTTGCTTTTAATATAAGACTTTACTGCATTTCAATGAAACATGTTAAGGACATGAAACTTGTCCAGATAAATTTGCATTCTGTTGTTAAACATCCATCTTTGAAACCTAAGTTGGTAATATCTGCTATCGTATTAGCGTTTGGAATTTCCTGGATGCCATTTTTAGTTGTCGAGGTTATTCGGCTTTTCTCGCCAATATCCATTAGTGTAACAGTGTCATTCATAGTCTGTTGGATCGCCGTTAGCAACAGTCTCATGAATTCTGTTATATATACATGTTTGAACAGGAAGTTCCGGTATGGAATCGTAGCATTGTTCCGGTGTAGGGACAGTGGTACACCAAAGATGACGGGATACGCCGACAGTAATGTCGTATAGACAAATTGGCAAAGGTTTTTAAAGTCACGTGACCAGATATTGCGGCATTTAAAGATGATGAACGAACCTCGAAAAAAATTTTCCTCGTGAACAAGAGAGTAATAAATGGTTTGACAAATTCTAATTGGTTTTGTTTCAGAAAAGAAGAATAAAATTTAAAAAAATAAAGAATATTCCTATATATATATATATATATATATAAAAAAACTGTTTCCAGTTTCCCGACCGTCACATTTTTTTAAATGCTGCTACCCGTAATTTTTCCAGTATTTTGACTACAGTTACTCAGAAAAATGTTGATTTTTGCTCCACAGAAGAACTAGTACCCTTCGACAAATTAACCTAGATGTTTGACATACATCTATACTGACCAATGTCGACAATATCCTGGCAAGATGGTAGTCTACAGTCTGTTTCTCCTTAAACACAAGAAATACTATCATTTTTTTATCAAATTAAACAGTTTCTTTAAACAGTTTAACAGTTTGATTTTAACCGCGATTTCATTTTGGTTTGGTCGCGGTCGGTATTCACAATTCTGGAAGGTAGTGAAATAACGATATGTCGTGTTCTCTTGTCCCTGTGATCCCTGTGTTTCGTGGCTGAATGCAGTGTTGTGTAATTTTACATCCCGTGTAGGAGGAAGAAAGGTGACCATATTTCCGGTATATCAACTTAATGTTGTTATGCATTGTGTTAGTAACCACAACAATGTAGAATGAACTTCCGGTGTGCTGGTTGGTGTGTTTCAGCAATTGGCGACATTTTCCCGATTGCTACTTTAACAGTATCTACAAAGAGTCAGCAACATGTTGGTTCACTTTGTGGGTTTGTTGTCTCTCTTCCTAAATAGTCAAACAACTTACGAGAAAGATGTCGCGTGCGGGGTGTTATCCATTGATAAAACACTGCGGTGCATGGTGGTCCGCTGGTCACGAACAATTCTCTGCTGTAATTTTTATGTCCTAAGAAAGACGTTTTGCTTTCGATAGCACGAAGCGAGCCTCCTGCATGTTTTTTTCAGTAAATAGGCACCATTTACTACAATAATTCACCGTCTTAGAATTACCCTGTCTGTTGACCGGTCGATAAATCCAGCATTCAAACAAGCCAACAAACAACCGAGAAAAAACAAAAAAAAACAAAAAACAAAAAACAAAAAAAAAAAAAAAAAAAAAAAAAAAACAAACAAACAAACAAACAAAAAAAAAAAACAAAAACAAAAACAAAAACAAAAAACAAAAATCAAAAAGCAGAAATGAGGGAAAATGTGGTACTCCCGACATATAAGTCACAACATTTAAGCACATTTACAAAATAGACCACAAGTTCTGTTAACTTGGAAGCTATTTCAACAATTAACTTGATTCTATAAACAAAATAACATTATCTTAGGACTGTTGCTTACACAGCATCAAGAACGCATTTAAATGCTTCCTATTCGTATTGTTAATAACTTGCTTACACAGCATCAAGAACGCATTTAAATGCTTCCTATTCGTATTGTTAATAACTTGCTTACACAGCATCAAGAACGCATTTAAATGCTTCCTATTCGTATTGTTAAGACTTATTAAAGATGAAAGGAAGGTGTTTTTTTTTATTGTTAAGACTTATTAAAGATGAAAGGAAGGTGGTTTTTTTTAAACATTTAAACATAACTCCGGTAAGTGAAAAAGTCGTTCCAATATTCAAACATAACTCCGATAAGTGAATAAGTTGTTTCAAATTAGTTGAATTAGTTGTTTATTTGTAAATAAACGAGGGAAATCAATATATATTAAAAAATGATTAATATGAGGTCTGGAAAGATGTGAGGATTAGTTATATAGTCGTCTTCATTTAACTCTATAACTTCATCGAAATCTCATTTATAAACTTTTACTAGGAATGTGATTAAAGAAGGGAGAGAAAAATAGAATTTATGTAAATTGGGTGGATATGGAGGGAGACGGGATGGAATGGGGTGGGGATGGGGTGGGAATGGGGTTAGGGATTGGGATGGGGTGAGGTTGGGGATGGGATTTGGGGTGGGGATGGGGTAGGGGGTGAGGATGGGGATGGGGTGGGATGGGTGGGGATGGGGATGGGATGGGATGTGTGGGGTTGGGGATAGGGATGGGGAGTGAGGTGGAGATGGGGGTGGCTATGGAATGGGGGTTGGGATGGAATGGGGGTGGGCAATGGGTGGGGGTTGGGGATGGGGTTAGGGGCTCGGATGGAGTGAGGTTGGGGATGGGATTGGGGGTGGGGATGGGGTTGGAGGTGAGGATGGGGATGGGGTGGGATGGGTGGGGATGGGGTGGGATGGGTGGAGATTGGGATAGGGATGGGGAGTGAAGTGGAGATGGGGGTGGGGATGGAATGGGGGTGGGAATGGGGTTGGGGTTGGGATGGGGTGAGGTTGGGGATGGGATTGGGGGTGGGGATGGGGTTGGGGGTAAGGTTGGGGATGGGTGGGGATATGTGGGGATGGGGATGGGATGGGGATGGGATGGGGATAGGGGTGAGGAGTGAGGTGGAGATAGGGGTGGGGATGGAATGTGTGTGGGGTTGGGGTGGGGGTTGGGTTAGGGGTTTGGATGGGGTGAGGTTGGGGATGGGATTGGGGGTGAGGATGGGGATGGGTGGGGATGTGTGGGGATGGGGATGGGATGGGATGGGGATAGGGATGAGGAGTGAGGTGGAAATGGGGGTGGGGATGGAATGGGTGTGGGGTTGGGGTGGGGGATGGGGATAGGGATGTGGATGGGGATTGGGATGAGGATAGGGATAAGGGTGGGGATGGGGATGGGGTGGAGATGGGGGGATGGGGTTGGGGTGAAGTGGGGGTAGGGATGGGGATGGGGATGGGTGTGGGGTGGGGATGCGTGTGGGGGTGGGGATGGGGATGGGGTGGAGATTGAGGTAGGGTTGGGGATTGGGTGGGTATGGGGATGGGAATGGGGATGGGTTGGGGTTAGGGATGTTGATGGGTGTGGGGATTGGGGATGGGGATTGGGAAGGTGATAATGAGAAAACAACCGGAAGATAAATATCAAACTTTTTAAAACAATTTACTGTGTAATAATCTATTAGCTAATATCAATCACCCTTGCCAGAACGAATGGAAGCGCGAGGGGTCTTATTGTGGGAGGAATCCATGGTATCCGGAGACCACGTGATCAGGCAGGGGGACCCGTGGACGTCTCGGTGAATAGCGAATGCGTTACTACTGCACCATCTAACCACTTTAAGATACACGAAGAGCAACACGGGAGAAAGCTGTAATAAAAGCAATTTAGGGGAAAAATAAAATAAAAACAAAAATGTCTTGAATGGAAGGTGGGGTAACTCATGAAAATAAAACTTCTCGAACGGAAAAAAGTCATTTCGACCAGCATCAAAAGACACCCTCCAGCCTCCTCCCCCCACCCCACCCCCCACCCCCCCAAAAAAAACCAAAAAAAAAAAAAAAAAAACCAAAAAACAATAAACAAACAAACAAAAAGACATACAAAACAAACCTCTGAACTCATACAGGTTAACAGTAATTATCAACTGGTTATTTTGTGAAATAGATTTACATTCTACAGCGCTGGGACGAATTTTATAATGCATAAAAAAAGAAAGCGGCAGACATGAGTTATACTTTAATTGTGAGGTGTTTCGTGATAGAAGTAAATAACTTATGTACTTAATTTCATGATTAAATTATATTATTGGTTTAGGTTAAAACACGCTTTATAAAAATGATTAACCTCGGACTCCGTCTCCGGTTGATATGTATTAACGAAGATAAACGAAACCATGCATCGACCTCATCTAACTGCATGATACATAGTATCGGCCGCTTATTGGCATGCACTGGAGGTTGATACAAAACTTATTTATATATATAGATATATCCGGGGCCGACAGATCTATTTTTCTCTTACTGATAATAAAATGCGTTTAAATAAGATGTTTAACGTTGCATAAGTACCGGTCAGAATTTTTACAAAACTGGATTTTATGTTGTAATCGAGATCATTTGATAACCTGAAGGGGATCGATGACTGATCAATACTCCTCTGAATCATTTCGTTTATTAAATTATGCTTTTCTTCCATTAGATAAACAGGAAACGGGCATAATTGTTTGGATATCGCGACGAAGTCCCTGATGATAGCGTATTGGCGAAGATTACGTTTTGCGACTCCAAACATGGAAGGTCAATATGATAGCGTGACTTTTATATGCAGCGTATCAATAACCAGGACTTGACTCCAAAGGTCTCCAGATCGGAACCTCAATTGCCATCGGGGTTATGTTTTTTTTACCCAGAAAGGAAATTAACGTGACGTGATATTGGATCTTTCACGATATTTTTCTATTTTGTTTCTTGTGAGATCAGTTAAAATAATGAAATGTTTAAATCGTTGATTGTTTGAGATTTGAAATGTAATGTAAGCATTAATCGTTTGATTATCGCATGGTTTCCAATCACTAAAACTTTATCTCTTCCGCATGCGATTTTTCCCCACCAACAACAAAGAAGTGAAATTACAATAGTTAGTTCTATAAGGAATTCTCCTACTCTCAATTCAGTTAAGTCAATTATACAATACATAACGAAAGCTTTAAGGTATGAGATTTACGTAATTTAAACATACTTAATTTCCGTTTAAGGAGCCCTGTCGATTCTCTTGATTACGGCGCTTTTAGAGCAAATTTAGGTAATAGAGCTGAATGTACGGACGACTTTCAGTACAACATTTCTGTTTGTCCCCTGTACATTCGGAACATAAGTAAGCCAGTTACCAACTTTTCCGTGCGTATTTCATTTTATCTATTTACGCATATATGGCGATCTTATTAGTTTAAACAGACAAAAACAAACGGTTTGATTGAATGTCTCTCTCTCTCTCCCTTTTCCCCCTCTCTCTCTGTCTGTGTGTGTGTGTGTGTAATGGTGTTTGTGTCTGTGTGACGTGGTAATATGGAAGTATTCGATTTTTCCCTGTGTTCACAAATACAAAGTCAAAATGTGTTATTAGCAGAACAAATACTGTCATGATGTCATAAGTTTTTCGAGGTTATATCAAATATGTCTCTATAAAGTATTTTGAATGACATTCATACTTAGTGTCCCTAGATCATACCACATATAAACATGATGCTATTTACGCTAACTAATTAAAAAATCAATAAATAGATTAAAAAAGCCTGTTGGAACCACGCATACAGACTAACATCATGCACAGAAAAGAACGGAAATAAATTGATAAATACTACACAGGGACAAAAACCCCACTATTTTCGGGAGTTTTGTTCACGTGACAAGCATGGCGTGTCAGGTAAATTACATAAGAGTGCATCGTAATTCAGCAGACAATAACGGACCTAGTACGTCCGAATTCTTAAAAACGATTAGGAATACAGGGACAAAAAGAACTATAAAAAAGAAGCCAAATGTTATTTTCCAGGCAAGCATGGGTTGCCTCATGAACAAAGCTCCTAAAAGAGTGTTGTAATATCTGTACCTCCTCGTTTCTATGAATGCGACCGTGCTAGTTGCGTTCCGCTATACTGAGTTTTTTTTACACTATTGGGGGTCCTTATGAGTGCATGTCAACCGGGTGTTCATATCATGGTATTCATGAATGAGAGAGAGAGAGAGAGAGAGAGAGAGAGAGAGAGAGAGAGAGGCTGAGAGTGAAACCCATATATAGTATACGTTACACAAGTGTGGTCTCTTATTAGGGAAACGAAGTATGCATTCTTTGTGTAATTTTAAAGATAGCATGTATTACAGTGTACCATAACTCTTTCAGCATGTGTTAACCTTTTCCATGAATTATGTATAATCCTTACAAAAGCACATCCTTGCTTTAATTCTTTGTGACTGGCTGGTGACATAATATTAGATATAAACAGGTTCATTTTATCATTTTACTGCGTATCACTAATAATAGATAAAAAGTTTAATAGAAAATGACAAGGTAATAAGTAAATCGGCAGTTATATACCAATCACTCGCAGATTTAAAACTAATCGTTCTAGTCCTTGTTAATTACTTTTTTGTATGTAATATGTGATCTAGCGTAGACTGGAAATATCGGGTAAAATCCGCATATTTAGATAACTCATTTTAATGTGTTGTTCAATTTAGACATAGTGATGTTTAAATATTCCTGTTTGAAACAAAGACGCTCCCATCGTCCTCCCTTAGGTGTATTTCTCATATTGGTTTCCTGAAGTCGTGTATGTTGGTGTAGAGGCATTAGCATACATAGTGCCATTCCACTAACAGATTCAATGCAACGAATAAAAGAAACCTATTGAGAGGTATTCTAGTTTAAAAACACAACTACGTAGCCAAAAACATAAAAGGAAAATAAAGCTGAAACTTTGGAAGATTATCAAGCTGATGGGTTTAGGTGTAGTGGATCTGTTTGACATACGTTCAACATACGTTACCTATCTCATGATAAATAATCTAGAAATGACCCAATAGGAGTGGAACAATACTACATTTTAGTTCTAAAATAACCAAATATATTGATTTATTATTTTCCACCTGTTTTTGTTTATTTAGCATCATTTGGATGAAGATCTACTGCGAAGTGTACATAACAATACAGACATGTTGTACAAATATTGTCTTCAAATTAATCGGATATATTCTTCATCCCTGTGATATTTGAAAGCCTTACAACATTATCCTATTTATAGCTCCTGTGTCAATGATGCCGAATGCGACTTTTCATAGAAAATATTCATACAAATGAAAAGGGAGAAAATCTTTGTTTGCATTACAGAATAAGTTAAAAAGAATCCTAACTTTAAACTGAAGCATTATATTCATCATTGATTACAGATAGTATGTTGTGTTGGAAGAGGTAACGCGGTTGCGTTATTACGGGTTGGTGAAAGTGGTACAAGGTGTGAGTTCCATGTCAGTGGATAGGAAAGAAGGAAGGTCAGTGATGTTACCAGTACGCGAGTTAAGCCTTACAATTCGATGGTCACGTGATGATCTGTGGTGATGATGAACAGTTTGAAATTACTGATCCTGACGTTCGTAGTGTAGGAGATCGTATGTATGTATGTATACGAAGTTAGAAAAAGTAGGACGAGATGGTAAACGATTGCATAAAAAGAAAACAAAATGGTACCAATGTAATATAGACGGTTCGGTCACGTGTTGTTTAACACGTGGTCATATTTGTGGGAGAGTCTTGGTCTGTTTAGTACTGGCGCACTGTGGTGTATTCCGGAGGTCTTATTGTAACCCGAAGGTTCGTATAACTTCGCCTTCTAACACTTTTTAACATTATATTATCCGTTTGAACTATAATTCTGGAAAAACCAAGACGAACAGCTTTTATTTCGTTAACTAGTAATTCAAAGTGATATCATCGCAAATTAAGAACCGGAACAATTTTCTCCCTCTAACCCACAAGTCCAGATTTGATGATGGTCTGGGCAGAGTTATTTGCCCATTTGTACGGGAAATCTGTGGGGACCGCCATCATACCATGGACATGCTTCTCGCACCACAGGCCAGCCAAACGTTCATCTGAGCAGTAGTCACCGTCTTCAAAATTGAAACATTTGACATCGAGGAGACCGAAAAACATGTCACCGACTTCATCTGCTGCCGTTGATTTCACCGCCTGAAGCAGAAATTTACTGCAGGTTATGGTGCTACAGTAAATCTCACACTCGCTGCCCCAAACTTTTCATTTACTTTTATTATTTTGAATTGAAGTTTTGTTGAATTAATAATGCTATGTCGTAGTTCTGTTGAATCTATAGACAAGGTTTGGTGTGATGACGTCATAGTATTGCTTCGACGATCTCATAGTGGTATGTCCAGGTATTGATAAATATAGTAACGTTTTTTTATTAATGGGTTTTATTGAGTCCCCGTGTAAATCATTCTAATGAATTTGTAATTGGATTGTGATTATTGTGATATTGGTATTTTCTTGTTGTTTTAATTACATTATTTTATTTTTGCCTTCCCCCCTTTTTAAAAATTATATCAAATTTTAATCTAAATTTTCTTCGGTTTTTTCTCTTTCCCCGTCGATCTGTGATTTGTCTATCTAGCCTGTAATGTGAAAATATTGGGAATTTTAAAGGTCATATAATCAAACAGAGTTAGGGTTACTATTGTTTTACAGTGTAATTTTACTGAATAAAAACAAAGTTATGTTCCTTGTCTTATTAGCCAGATCAAAATAGTTGCAGCGAGAATATCAATGTTTCACATGGAGGTGTTTTTAAGGAATGACAACTCTGGTTGAGCTTGTGCAAATGTAGGCTTAAATAGCGAAAGTTCACATTTACTGTCTTTGTCAGACTTGATTTTATTACAGAAACAACAAGACCGTATGATCACAACCGTAATCCTAACTCGAATTCATATAATAAATAAACAGCAACGAAATCAACAAGCAAACAAACGGTTGATGAATAGACAGACAGGGTCCAAATCCAAACATCTATAGACAGACATACAGACAGACAGACAGACAGATAGACAGGGGGTCATTTCAAATATCTAAAGACAGATAGGCTGGCATTAAAAAACATCTATAGACATGGTGGCAAATTCAAACATCTATAGACAAGGTGGAAAAATCAAACATCTGTAGACAGACAGGTTGGCATTTCAAATATCTATAAACAGATAGACAGGATGGCATTTCAAACATCTATAGATAGATAGACAGGGTGGCATTTCAAACATCTAAAGATAGATAGCGTGACATTAAAAACATCTATACACAGGGTGGCAAATTTAAACATCTATAGGCAGGGTTGCAAATTCAAACATCTATAGACGGGCAGACAGGGCAGCATTTCAAACATCTATACACAGACAGACAGACAGAAAGAGAGACGGACGGACGGACGGACAGACAGACAGACAGACAGACAGACAGACAGACAGACAGACAGACAGACAGACAGACAGACAGACAGACAGACAGACAGACAGACAGACAGACAGACAGACAGACAGACAGACAGACAGGGAGGCATTTCATCCATACATAGACATGGTGACAAATCCAAATATCTATAGACAGGGTGGCAAATTCAAACATCCATAGACAGGCAAACAGGGTAGCATTTCAAACATCTAGAAACAGATAGACAGGGTGGCATTTCAAACATGTATAGACATGGTGGCAAATTCAAACATCTATAGACAGGGTGGTAAATTCAAACATCTGTAGATAGGGTGGTATTTTAAAGATATATAGACAGGGTGGCAAATTCAAACATCTATAGACAGGGTGGCAAATTCAAACATCTATAGATAGGGTGGCAAATTCAAACATCTATATATAGGGTTGCAAATTCAAACATTTATAGACAGGGTGGCATTTCATCCATCCATAGACATGGTGACAAATCCAAATATCTATTGACAGGGTGGCAAATTCAAACATTTATAGACATGGTGGCAAATTCAAACATCTATAGACAGGGTGGCATTTCAAACATCTATAGACAGACAGACAGGGTGGGACATTGAAACATCTATAGACAGATAGACAGGGTGGCATTAGGGTGGCATTAAAAACATCTATAGATAGGGTGGCAAATTCCAACATATATAGGCAGGTTGTCATAATTCAAATATCTCTAAACAGGATGGCAGATTCAAACATCATTTGACATATAGACAGGGTGGCATTTCAAACATCTATAGACAGACAAACAGACAGACAGGGCGGCAAATTCAAACATCTTTTAACATATAGACAAGGTGGCATTTAAAACATCTATCGGCGGACAGGGTGGCATTTGAAACATCTATAGACAGACAGACAGACAGACAGACAGACAGACAGACAGACAGACAGGGTAGCACATTTAAAGATCTTTAGACAGATACACAAGGTGGCATTATACAAACATCTATAGACATGGTGGCAAATTCAAAACATCTAAAGAAAGGGTGGCATATTCAAACATCTATAGACATATAGACAGGGTGGCATAATTCAAACATCTATAGACATGGTAGCAAATTGAAACATCTATAGATAGGGTTGCAAATTCAAACATCTATACACAGGCAGACAGGGTAGCATTTGAAACATCTGTAAATAGATAGAAAGGGTGGCATTTCAAACATCTATAGACAGGGTGGGAAGGTGGCATTTCAAAGACATATAGACAGGGGGGCAAATTCAAACATCTATAGATATTGTTGTAAATTCAAACATCTATAGACAGGCAGACAGGGTAGCATTTGAAACATCTTTGGACAAGGTTGCATTTCAAATATCCATAAACAGATAGACTGGGTGGCATTTGAAATATATATAGACAAGGTGGTAAATTCAAACATCTATAGACAGGATGGCATTTCAAACATCTATAAACAGACAGACAGGGTGGCACATTTCAACATCTATAGACAGACAGACAGGATGGCACATTTAAACATCTATAGACAGATAGACAGGGTGGCATTCCAAACATCTAAAGACAGATAGGGTGGCATTAAAAACATCTATAGATAGGGTGGCAAATTCCAACATCTATAGACAGGGTGGTAAATTCCAACATATATAGACAGGGTGGCATAATTCAAACATCTCTAAACAGGGTGGCAAATTGAAACATCTTTAGACGGGGTAGCAAATTGAAACATCTTTTGACATATAGACAGGGTGGCATTTAAAACATCTACAGAAAGACAGAGTGGCATTTCAAACATCTATAGACAGACAGGTTGGGATTTCAAATATTTATAGACAGACAGGGTGGCATTTGAAACATCTATAGACAGACAGAGTGGCATTTCAAACATTTATAGACAGACAGGTTGGGATTTTTATAGACAGAGAGACAGGGTTGCAAATTCAAAATTTTATAGACAAGTAGGCGAGGAATAGAACAGTCCCTGTTTTCTTAGGAAGAACAATGTGTGGTGTGGAAACATTAATATTTTTCATCAGTGATGTATACCTAGAATAAATTTCCTACTTTTCATACATCAGATAATTATCAAAACTCAATTTAAATAAACTCCTGAAAGTGTAAGATAGAAGCTTCGGAGATATCAGAGATAATGACAGAAAGCATACTATGTTACTACTTGCTTTATAATTTGACTGACCTTGAGACAATTGTACAGGCCAGTGTCACAGTTACAGTAACTCATAGTCCAGGGGTACGGGTTACGATAATGGTATTTAGTTTCGAAGTGGTCGATAAAATATGGACAGTGGTCGTGGGTCCGACAGCAACTGTCCGTAGCGCGGTGTTCACCTTCATTGACAAAATAGTTTTATATCATTTCGTCATTTTATTTCATCATATTTAACGTCTGATGAATTATAAGTAACACGATTCCTAGGACGGATGTTATCCCCTATTGTGATGTAAAGAAAAACGTATCAGAATTCTAAAAAAACATGTATATATATATATGTGTGTACAGAAATGAAGGAAACGTTGCATTGATGTATCTGTTATAGTTAATGCTATACTGAAAATGTCTGGAAATAAATTTAATACTCTTCGTACTTCAGCAAAAGAATACTATATTTATATACATATTATACAAACATAATTAAACCAAGTAATTATCTCGTAGTCCAGTGGAAGTTCTGTATTACAGATGACCTACCTAAATCATCGTAACTAGTCGCCTTGTTGTCGAGGCCACACCATTTCGTTCCCGGAAAAATAGCAAATGATCCATGAGCTCCTGCTGGATCACCAGTCTCTTCTGGGACAAAAGGCACTTCTGTAGTAGTGGCTTTCACTTGGCTTGCAGTTTCCTCCAGTTGACGTTTGTCATGTCTCATTCCTTCACATGACTTCACTAGTTTCCTTGCAGTATCTTCGTCTGTGTACAGCAAAATGACATGTTTACCATTCTTTTTTATAAAAATGGTCACAGAAATTCAATACCGGAGATTATCCTTCAATCTTTCCCGTTACAATAAATCGACGTTTCACAGTTTTAAAGCTAGTTACAATTACATTAAAAATTCTATTTCAAATTCGGCTCGGAATAAGCAACATTGAAGACAGTAGTCTCGTTCATATTTCTATCTGCAAAATAGACGAGAATGTCAAATAATTCGTTATACACAAAGCATACAAATATTACCAACATCCCGCCATTTGACGTCATCAGCGTCAAGTATGGACACAGGGTCGGAGGTGACGTCACAATATTTTAGGATTCCTTCTGGGGACACTAAAGCATCCAATGACCAGTGTCCATTCGTAACTGCATACAGGGTGTAATTGGGAGACTGGTTAAAGTGTCTGAATGCAATCCAACCTAGGGCGAAAAACAAATGACGTCAGTGAATAGAACTGCATTGTAAACGCTATAGTTCCTCTCACATAGGAGACAAGCACACGTCATACATTTCAGAATACTCTTAGTAAGAAAACGTTTTCACCGAGAAAATTATCTGGATCAAAACGTTGCCATGGTTCAGTAGTATTTGGTATTTGAATTATGTGATTATAATCACATGATGTTGTCAAAACATTGAAATACCAGCTAGAATTGAAAAGCAAAGGCACGATGGGTCATCAATTTTACCTTCCACCAAAGGCACGATGGGTCGTCAATTTTAACTTCCACCAAAGGCACGATGGGTCGTTAATTTACAACCTTCCATCAAAGGTACAATGAGTCGTCAATTTTACCTTCCACCAAAGGCACGATGGGTCGTTAATTTTACAACCTTCCACCAAAGGCACGATGGGTCGTCAATTTTACAACCTTCCACCAAAGGCACGATGGGTCGTCAATTTTACAACCTTCCACCAAAGGCACGATGGGTCGTCAATTTTACAACCTTCCACCAAAGGCACGATGGGTCGTCAATTCTACCTTCCACCAAAGGCACGATGGGTCGTCAATTTTACAACCTTCCACCAAAGGCACGATGGGTCGTCAATTTTACAACCTTCCACCAAAGGCACGATGAGTCGTCAATTTTACCTTCCACCAAAGGCACAATGGGTCATTAATTTTACAACCTTCCACCAAAGGCACGATGAGTCGTCAATTCTACCTTCCACCAAAGGCACGATGGGTCGTCAATTTTACCTTCCACCAAAGGCACGATGGGTCGTCAATTTTACCTTCCACCAAAGGCACGATGAGTCGTCAATTTTACAACCTTCCACCAAAGGCACGATGGGTCGTCAATTTTACAACCTTCCACCAAAGGTACGATGGGTCGTCAATTTTACAACCTTCCACCAAAGGCACGATGAGTCGTCAATTTTACCTTCCACCAAAGGCACAATGGGTCATTAATTTTACAACCTTCCACCAAAGGCACGATGAGTCGTCAATTCTACCTTCCACCAAAGGCACGATGGGTCGTCAATTTTACCTTCCACCAAAGGCACGATGGGTCGTCAATTTTACCTACCACCAAAGGCACGATGGGTCGTCAATTTTACAACCTTCCACCAAAGGCACGATGGGTCGTCAATTTTACAACCTTCCACCAAAGGCACGATGGGTCGTCAATTTTACAACCTTCCACCAAAGGCACGATGGGTCGTCAATTTTACAACCTTCCACCAAAGGTACGATGGGTCGTCAATTTTACAACCTTCCACCAAAGGCACGATGAGTCGTCAATTTTACCTTCCACCAAAGGCACAATGGGTCATTAATTTTACAACCTTCCACCAAAGGCACGATGAGTCGTCAATTCTACCTTCCACCAAAGGCACGATGGGTCGTCAATTTTACCTTCCACCAAAGGCACGATGGGTCGTCAATTTTACCTTCCACCAAAGGCACGATGGGTCGTCAATTTTACCTTCCACCAAAGGCACGATGGGTCGTCAATTTTACAACCTTCCACCAAAGGCACGATGGGTCGTCAATTTTACAACCTTCCACCAAAGGTACGATGGGTCGTCAATTTTACAACCTTCCACCAAAGGCACGATGAGTCGTCAATTTTACCTTCCACCAAAGGCACAATGGGTCATTAATTTTACAACCTTCCACCAAAGGCACGATGGGTCGTCAATTCTACCTTCCACCAAAGGCACGATGGGTCGTCAATTTTACCTTCCACCAAAGGCACGATGGGTCGTCAATTTTACCTTCCACCAAAGGCACGATGAGTCGTCAGTTTTACAACCTTCCACCAAAGAAACTTCCGTTCTATAATGTCTAAGTCGACAATAACATAAGACTGTGTTCGTTGATTTTATTAAAACACAGTTTTACCAAACAAATGGGTCATGCACATGTTATTGTAACTTAGAAACTCTTCTCCAAAACACAAAATAATTCGCTACATTTTCACGTTCATTACAGCATGCACAAGCTGGTTAATTCATGCATGTCTCTACCTTGTATGTAAAACTTTCAACTTTTGCTATTCCTAGGATAAAACTAAAGGGGTATTATTATTATCATTATTATTATTACATTCTTAACGGCCCGACAACACATAAAGGGTCATTAGGGCCATGAAATGGTAAAACACACAGCGATCCAAAAGGAAATAACATTAAACAAACCAAAAGGTAAAAGACAAATGTTGAAAAATCTTAAATGGGTATGTTAACACAAAAGATTAAAACAGTATGTCATAGTCTATTATATAGACCAACATCTTTCAGGTAATGTAGAATTTTACAAATCTTAACAGTTTCAAAAAGGGATTTTAGACATGAAATATTACGATAAAACGTTATCGAGTAGACAGAAGGTCACTGCAGTCCAATAAAAAATGTTAAACGGAGAATGGCTCATCACATCCTATGCACCAAGGATTATATTCGCCTTTCAACATATATGAATGTGTAAGGTATGTATGACCCATCCGAAGACGGGCAAGGACAACTTCGTCTCGGTCTCGGTGGTTGTCTCTATAGCCAGGAGACCATTCACTGATAACAGGTTTAACGGAGTGCAATTTGTTATTGGTATGGGTATTCCAATCCTCCTGCCACTGAGCTTTTAAAATTTGTTTAATGAATGGTTTAAAATAGGTCAAATAAGGTTTGAAAACAACAGGTGGTAGCGATAAAGCTTCCTTTGTGGCACGATCTGGTTTGTCATTGCCCGGTATTCACATGTGCCCAGGAACCCAGCAAAAACCAATACGAAAGTTAAAAGCAAGTTCATGATATAGTATTAAGGTATTACGAATGGAAATATTTTCGATACTTCTATTGCTAAGAGTTTGTAGAACAGAAAGAGAGTCTGAATGGATAACAGCTCTGATTACTTTGTTTCTTTTAATATATTCAAGGGCGAGGTAGATAACTCGCGCTTCTGTCGAGAATATCGAGGCGTTGTTCGGTAGCCGGCATCCATAGGTTTCATCTTGTGTAACCATGGCCGCAGCAACCTTATCATTATTTTTTGAACCATCAGTATATAAATGTAGAAATGTTTCATGTTTTAACTGCAATTGCGAGAAAGATGAACGAAAGGCGTAACTGTCTGTGTCTGTTTTAACCATTTCATGAAGTGAAAAGTCAACTTCAGGTGAATTCATGAGCCAGGGTGGAATTTCTATCGTTCTAAATGACTGAATTTGGTTAATATCAATATTTGTGTTAGAAATATTACACCCACATATACTGAACGAACAGCCTACAAAATATAGAAATATTACACTCACATATACTGAACATACAGCCTAGAAAATATATTACACCCACACATACTGAACGTACAGTCTAGAAAATATAGAAATATTACACCCACATATACTGAACGTACAGCCTAGAAAATATAGAAATATTACACCCTCACATACTGAACGTACAGCCTAGAAAATAGAAATATTACACCCACATATACTGAACATACAGCCTAGAAAATATATTACACCCACACATACTGAACGTACAGTCTCGAAAATATAGAAATATCTCACAACACATACTGAACGTACAGCCTAGAAAATAGAAATATTACACCCACATATACTGAACGTACAGTCTAAAAAATATAGAAATATCACACCCACATATACTGAACGTACAGCCTAGAAAATATAGAAATACTACACCCACACATACTGAACGTACAGCCTAGAAAATATAGAAATATCACACCCTCACATACTGAACGTACAGCCTAGAAAATATAGAAATATTACACCCACACATACTGAACTTACAGCCTAGAAAATATAGAAATATTACACCTACATATACTGAACGTACAGCCTCGAAGATATAGAATATTACACCCACACATACTGAACGTACAGCCTCGAAAATATAGAAATATTACACCCACACATACTGAACGTACAGCCTCGAAAATATAGAAATATTACACCCGAACATACTGAACGTACAGCCTCGAAAATATAGAAATATTACACCCACACATACTGAACGTACAGCCTAGAAAATATATTACACAGACACAAATTGAAAGTACAGCCTCGAAAATATAGAAATATTACACCCACACATACTGAACGTACAGTCTCGAAAATATATTACACCCACACATACTGAACGTACAGCCTCGAAAATATAGAAATATTACACCCACACATACTGAACGTACAGCCTAGAAAATATAGAAATATTACACCCGAACATACTGAACGTACAGCCTCGAAAATATAGAAATATTACACCCACACATACTGAACGTACAGCCTAGAAAATATAGAAATATTACACCCACACATACTGAACGTACCGCCATGAAAATATGGAAATATTAAACCCACACATACTGAACGTACAGCCTAGAAAATATAGAAATATTACACCCACATATACTGAACGTACAGCCTCGAAAATATAGAAATATTACACCCACACATACTGAACGTACAGTCTTAAAAATATATTATATTACACCCACACATACTGAACGTACAGCCTAGAAAATATATTACACCCACACATACTGAACGTACAGCCTAGAAAATATAGAAATATCTCACAACACATACTGAAGGTACAGCCTAGAAAATGTATTACACCCACACAGACTGAACGTACAGCCTGGAAAATATAGAAATATCACACCCACTTATACTGAACATACAGTCTCGAAAATATAGAAATTTTACACCCGAACATACTGAACGTACAGACTCGAAAATATAGAAATATTACACCACCATATACTGAACGTGCAGCCTCGAAAATATAGAAATATTACACCCACACATAATGAACGTACATCCTAGAAACTATAGAAATATCTCACCACACATACTGAACGTACAGCCTCGAAAATATAGAAATATTACACCCACACATACTGAACGTACAGCCTCGAAAATATAGAAATATTACACCCACACA